CGCACACGCACACGCACACGCACACGCACACGCACACGCACACGCACACGCACACGCACACGCACACGCACACGCACACGCACACGCACACGCACACGCACACGCACACGCACACACATGTGCGTGCGAAGGGGAGGGACTGTGCAACTGAAAACAGCTCACTCCTCAACCCCCGCCCTCTCGCAGACCAACGCGATCAACGACGCATTTGTGCAGGCCAGGGAAGACATTGCTGACGCAAAGTGGGTGGTGGTCCGCCGCAATCAAGCCACACATCTCCCATCGTGACAGGGGGATGCAGCACCGCACCCCAGCGATTGTCCGCGGCTGGCTTTGCAGCTGGTTTTGCAGCTGGTTTTGCAGCCGCCCTGGCACCTGGGGGTTTTTCGCCACCTGCCTGTGCGCAGGTCCCGTCGTGATCCCCTCGTTGCCCCATACCAGGTTCCATACCAGGCGCCATGACAAAGCTCCTGCCCTCCTCCCTGTCCCCCTTCCAGGGATGACGCGGAGACTGTGTACTTTAATGAGTCAGCCTCGGTGAGGGGGCCACGCGCTGCAGGCGGGGCGGCTCGCAGCCGACACGGACCCTTCCCCGTGCTGCACTGGCGGCCCCTGTATCCACATCAACCAGCCCCTCACGCTACCAAACGAGGCCCACCCGTGCCCGCACCCGCTTCGGCGCCTGCACTGCTGCGCCACACCCCAGATTGCCCGCAAGAGCGTTGACGAGGTGCTGGCACACTGGAATGGGCTGCTGGGCCGGGTGCCGGACAAGACACGCGGGGAGCTGGTCAGGAGCATGGGGCTAAAAATGGTGCGGCGCCCACGACTTTTTCGGAGCGGGGCGTCTCCGGCAGCCAGCCTGCCAACAGCTATTGTCCCTCACGACAGCCGCTGATGTCAGCCGCTCTGCGCGCCATCACAACGACCACAGCTGCCGTCATGGCAGCCCACACTCGCGCTGCCCCCATCCTGGTGCCTGTCCCACACCGCTGCAGGAGCAGCTCAAGGCTGAGCTTAAGGAGCTGGACGAGCTGCACACGTGATGCTGATGCTTGTTGGGGTGGTGACAGGGCCGCGACGAGGCCGAGGCGGGCGCTTTGGCTACGTATGAATGGCACGGCCGCCGCGCTCCCGCTACCTGCCTGGCAGGCGCTGGCCGCCCTCGTTCCCGTCCACCACCAAAAAGCGGCGCTGGCAAGGGCTGAAGTGTAACATTAGGCAGGGTCGGGACGAGGCCACGACGCATGAGAGGTTTCACAGGGATTCAGGCGTGGAACTGGGGAGCAACATTCAGAGTCGGCGGTGCCCTTGCGAGTGGGCGTAAACATTACTCGACTAATGCTCGCCATAAGGCGTGACGCCAGCCAATCATCAACAACTAGACTGCGGTCGGCGGGGAAGTATCAATAGGTCAGACGCACGTCAGATGCGCCCATGCAGCACTCGCACTTCCATTTGCGGCAGCATACCGCGGATGGCAAGGACATGTTTCAGCAGCCGGCCTGGCGTAAACCAGAACGCGCAACAGCTCACATATGCCGATTGCTCGGGACCCTTCCTGCCAAGTTGCTCCACGCCACCATCAGCAGCCTGGCGCGTGATGCTGCCGCCGCCTCAGCCCTTGCACTCGCCGGGGGGCAGCGCGCCCACGCGTGCCTCTGCTCGCAACGCCCCCAGCAGCGCCTGGTTGCGCGCAGGGTTGACACCCAGGTCCCCCACACCCAGCCGCAGCTGACCCTGGGCCTCCACCAGTGCGGCCCCATCGCCCGCACACGACAGTCGCACCCAAAAGTCGTCTGCGGGGCGATGCGAGGTTGGCCCAAGAGGGGGGGGGGTGAGGGGGGCCCAGGACCGTCAAGGGGGGCATAGGACCGTCAAGCGGTGCGTGCGCGCTCTCGCAGCACCAGCAGAGGGGCCTGGCACGGGTGCAGCCTGAGCCCGTGAGCCTCCAGGAGCGGCGCACCCCGGGGCCCCCTCACCAGCAAAGCCCCAGAAGAAGGTCAGGACGCGCGCGTGCACCAGCAGCGCCCTGCCGCCGCCGTCCGCGCCGCCGTCCGCCGCGTCGTACAGCACCTCCGCCCGCGGCAGCGCCCGCACCCAGGCCGCGGCCGCCCCGCGGGCGCCCTCGAGCGTCGTGCGCAGCTTGAGCGGCACCTCTGGGCCCGCGCGGTGAGGGTGCCGCTCCGCCACACGGCCGCAGCCCTCGAGCTTGGTGCAGCGCTCGGGGAACGCGGCTGCCGTTGCTTTGGGGTCCGGGCTGGCTGCGCGCACCAGCAGCAGCAGCATGACCAAGGCCCCCAGGGCTTCAATCACGCGCATGCCCCACCGCGGCAGCGAGGGGGCTTGGCCTTGGTGGGGCAGCCTCGGGGGGCAGGCCGTGGACTCGGCCTGGCACGCGCCATAGGCGAGGAGCACAAGGCCCGCGGCAGCTGCGGCGGCGCCTGCCGCTGCGCCAAACGCGTGGCCCCAGTGGACGGCCGCCCCAACCTCCAGCATCCCTGATGGTTGGCGTCATCAAGGTGATGGGGGGGGGGTATGGGTGGCTAGGGCGGAGGGAAGTGAGGCGGATGGGCCGGGCACCAACTGCCGATGTAGCAGTCGGCCGCCCTGGCGTGATGTTTCTGGGGCTGATACCGCCACAACTGCTGCTTCGAGTCACGTCATATCTCACACCGTCACCGACATGCTGGCCGCCGCCGCCTCCCTGCTGCTAGTGTGCGGCTAGCGAGCGCCCTGCACTTGCTTCAGCTTACCGGCCACAACAAAGAGGGCGCCCTGCACGAAGAGACGGGCTGTACTGAAAGCAGGGCCTTTTCTGCCCCGCGGCAGCAGCGGCTGCGTCGCCTGTGCCATGATGCCGGCACCCTCCAGCGAGCGCAGCCCTACAGTTGAACGGTGTCGTGGGTGCGCTGGGACGTAGTGCGACTGCTTGCAGCGCCAGGCGACGTGCAGAAACGGGAGACGCAATCCGCCTTTTTATATGGCAGCTGACGTGACCAGGACTGTCTGCAGCTGCTTACATGCGGTACAGAGGCTTCGATTGACGGCCAGGACGTGTCAAAATCATGAAGAGTTTCATTATCAGCGCGGCCGAATCAATTTTACAACATGTGTGTTGCGTGACATCTACCGTACAGCACTTCGATTCTGGAATGTCAGATCACATGTTCAAAGATAAAGCTCATCATATGTAGCGTTGTTTATTCGTCATATCAATTGCTCATGAGTGGTTGAAATGATTCTTATGCAGAGTGCAGGCCCTGGGCCGCTGAAGCCCCGCGTGGCATTTGTTGCGCTGGGCAGCCGTGGCGATGTTCAGCCCCTTGCACTGCTGGCGTGGCACCTGCATGCCCGCGACAGTGGTGGGGCTGACGTGTGTTTTGTAACACACTCTTGCCATGCTGTTTGGCTTTCCTCCCTGCTTCCGGGGCTACCCCTAGGTTTGGGCCTTCCACACTCCCCCGGAGGCGTGTGGGGCGAAGTTGCAGGCAGCGGCACGACGTCAATGCCCGCCGTGTCCGAGGCAGCGGCAAGGGAGGCTGTGCTGGAGGCCTGCTGCAAAGCGCTGGGTCTGCCCATGTCACCTCTGCCGCGGCCGTTGCGCCTGGCCAGCAGCGGCAGGCAAGGGGGCACCAGTGGCAGCAGCAGTCTGGCCAGCAGCAAGGATGGCCCTGCCTCTCCTGGGCCAGGGGCGCAGCCGCTTGAAGCACCAGTGGCAGGCGCGCAGGAGCAGCAGCAAGAGGATCAGGAGCGAGTGGAGCAGCAGCAGCAGCAGCAGCAGCAGCAGCAGCAGCAGCAGCAGCAGCAGCAGCAGCAGCAGCAGCAGCAGCAGCAGCAGCAGCAACAGCAAGAGCAACAGGAGGAGGGTCGCGGGCGCCTGCTCGTCTTCAACCTCTTCTGCCTCGAGGCCTTCCACATTGCAGAGGCTCTGGGGCTGCGCTGCGCAGCGGCCCATCCCTACCTCATCCCCTACAGCTGCCCGGCCTCTTTCGAGCGCCGCTTTGCTGCAGCCTACCCCCCTCTGCACGCAAAGCTCAGGGAGGCAGTGGGCAACGAGGAGGGACGCACGAGCTGGGCGGAGGTGAGGGTGGCGGCGATCCGCAGTAAGATGGGGCAGTCACAGGCTGCGGGATGCCTGGTGAAGCGATGCCCCAGACGTCGGACGGGCCATCACGGCGGCCATGTTGCCTGAAGCAGACAACACCCACCATCCGGCGGTCTGTTGCACGGTGAAGCACACATGGTCGGCCTGCCAGCACAGTGGATCCCGCACCCCCAGGTGCACCACCCCCACAATGCGCCAGGTGCGCCACTGGATGTGGCCGCTGTTCACCGAGCGCTGGGGCACATGGCGCCAGGAGACCCTGGGCTTGCCACCTGTGCCCCTGCTGTCAGAGCCGGCAGGTGGCACATCCGCGGCCCGCCGGGGGGCAGCGGTGCCCTTGCTGTATGGTGAGGCGCGGGCGGGCGGGTGGAATGGGGTCACGACCAAGTCCATGGGGCGGCTAATCCCGTCGAAGCGTTGTTGACGGCCGGCGGTTGGTGCATCGCCATCCATCAAGTCTTGCGGCGATCTGTTCTTGCGACGAAGCTGCCCACATGCCGCAAATCAACCCCAACTCCCACTGTTGTCCAGGCTTCAGCGAGCTAGTTGTCAGCCGCCCGGGCCACTGGCCCCCCAGCATTCATACCTGTGGCTTTTGGCTGCAGGCGCATGTGCGCGAGGCACACCGAGGGTGAGACACAAACCGTATGTTTGTATATGCTCTTGCAAGTCATAGGAAGTCATGTGCTCTGATCAGCATGACTGAGCCGCGCAGGGGAGCGTCATTACTCTGTGGCACATCAACTTCCCCCAACCAACCTCCAAACCTTAGGCTTGATAGATCCTGGCAGCTGCCCAAGCAGCTCCAAAGCTTTCTGGAGGGCCGCAGTGATGCAAGCGGCGGCGCTGGTGAGGGAATCAAAGGAGCCGAGGCACCAGCAGTGTCGGAGGCAAGGGCTCATCTGAGCGAGTTTGGCGGCACCCGTCACGCGGCTGTCACTGGCGCACCTGGCAGCAAAACGACTGAAGGAGAGGCGGCACGGGCAGCCCGGAGCCCGGCTCGCTGCCGCCAGCGCGTCCTCATCGATTTCGGCAGTATGGGGCTCCTGGGGCTGCTGCCACCGCCGGCCACACTGCTGGTGGTGCTGCTGCGCGCGCTGGAAGCCGCTGACATGTGCGGGGTGGGGCCGTGAAGTGTGCTTTGGCGGCCCTACAGCTGGATGACTGCCCCGCGGGTCCTCGCGTATAATCCAGAAGGGGGTGTTCCTGAGACCTGGCCCTGGTGGGGCGCGCCGCTATTGTGTCTGCGTTGGGTTCACTCCCACGCGTTGGAGCGACCTGCCATTGCCCTGCACCACTCCCCAAGGTGCGGCGTCCTGCTATCCGGCGGCTGGGCCCCGCTGGCGGCCACCCACGCTGCCCTGCCGGCCCCAGGCCGCGCGCGCCTGCGCCTGCATCCTGGCCCCCTGTCGGCCCACGACCTGCTGATGGCCGGCTGTGCTGCGGCGCTGCACCACGGAGGCAGCGGCACCACCGCGGCCGGGCTGGCGGCGGGCACGCCGCAGGTGGTTGCCCCACTACAGTTCGACCAGCCTTTTTGGGCTGAAAGGCTGGCGCACCTGGGCATGTCCCCGCCGCCCCTCGACGCGCGCGTGCTGTTTGCTGGGGACGAGTGCACCATTGCAGACGCAGCCGCCACAATCGCGTCGCGCCTGTTGGAGTCGGTTGAGTCCAGCACCGTCCGGAGTTGCTGCAAGGAGATGGCCGCAAGCTTGCAGGTGGGCGTATGAGGGGTGGGGGATCGTCGTAGCTTGGAAGTTGGGGCGAAATGGGCATGCCCCGCTCCTGCTCCCCACGAAGTGGCAAGGTGGAGCGATCGCAGCGGCAGCCTCTCCTACTCTGGTGTCGTACATCTGTCTTTGATGCTGTGTTGCGGGACCTCCCCCACCAGGAAGACCCCAGGGAGCGCGGCATCGATGTCGCGGCCGACCTGCTGCTGGAGCTGTGCCGGGGGTGAAGACCGGTGAGTGTGGCTGGCCCAGATTCACATCTCAAGCCGGCTGTGTCATCCCCGTGGCAAAGGTGGTGATGTAGAGCTCATTCTGTGCAGGATGTATATTGCAGGAGTGACCAGCGTGTCTGCTATGTTAGTGTACATTTTGGCTTTTTCTGCTGCCTGATCGCATGCCATTCTGTTCCTCGGGTATTCCTGTCACTCTGCACCCTGTGTGCGTTCTGTAGCTGACCAGCCCCTCAAAGAAAAAGCTGCCAGTAACAGCCCCTGCTATTGGCGTGGTGTCAGCAGTGGCTTTGTTACTGCGCGGAGCCGCTGGGTGGCGGCCGGTCTCTACCTTTCCAGGTCACAGAAGGTGAACGCAAGGCGCGGGGATGAGTAGAAGGCTGGTCAGGGTCAAAATAAACGTAATGCCGTGTGGCATGCAATAACACAGACAGGGAGGAGAGACGTCACATGCAGCAAACCAGGAAGCAAAGGGATTGACGAGAAAAAGAGAGTGAGACGACAACAATAGAGAGGGAATGCAGCCGCTGCCATGCGACGGGAGCCGGCCGGCGCGGACCGGTGGCGTCCCGTGCGCCCCAGCTGCGCAGCGTCCCGTGCACTTCGAAGCCACCGGGAAAGTGCAGGCGGTGGTGCAGGCGG